CGAACCTCCTGGTTCTTAGGTTGATGCTCAACCACTGAACCACACCGGCCAGGCCCCTTCCCACAACTCAACACAGCACATGCTGCTCATGGAGGCCTGCTGGGCCCTTCAGCGGACTCCTCCCTCCTGGGCAGCGGAGGGAGAGGATAGAACTGCTCCTTGCTTCTCCCTACTTTGCTAGTTTTGGGTTTTGAAGCAACTCCCTCAGCCTTGCTCTGCCTCCTTTGCAAAATGAGATTAATTCCTACTTCCTCAAGGTTGTCATGGGGATGACTGAAGTCAATGGCTGGTGCACACCGAGAGCTCAACGCCATCTGTTCCTGAGCTCTGGCTGCGCCCAGGGCTCTGAGGGTCCATTAACGATGAGAGAGAATCATTGATGGGCTGCCTCCTGCAAGCCCCCTTCCTGCCCAGCGGGTGACCTCCCATCGCCACCCGGATAGAGAGGCCAGAGGTAAAACAGCACAACACATACTTTATTCTTTATAAAACATAGAAACCCAGCCTCAGGGGGCTTGAGTGATGTCAGGGACACAGAAAGGAAAGGGTTGGTGGGCCCCAGCATGGGACGACTGGCCAGATCTGGGGCCCTTGCTGCAGGCCCCACTTGTGGCAAAGGGCTGCTCTCCTGCCTACAGTGGGGGGTGGGGGGTGGGGGGGCGGCTGCCCGAGGCTCCCTGGCCTATCGGAAGCCTGGGCAGAAGGAAGCACTGGCCAAAGACCGTCCCTGATGAGGTGGTGAGCAACTCGAGGCCAATGGCCTTATGGGCCCCTCCCTAAGCCCCAGTCTAGTCGCCCATCCCCCCTTCACCTGCTCTCCCTCCAGACACCAGCCCTGGGAGAGGACACATGGAGGCAGGAAGGAGGCCACTGCCTACATTTTTCCCTCCCTTTGTGGCCAAGTGACCCTTTTCAACTGCAAAACCACAGATGAGCTGGAATGCTCATTAACTAGGGGAGGGCACCCTTTAAGGGTGACGAAGACTCTGTCTAAAAACTCCATCTGAGCTCAAAGCATCAGTCCCACCCAGCCCAGCCATGGGCAGGGGCGAGAACCCAAGGCAGCACAGGGAACCTGGCAGCTGAGGACCAGGTCCCGGGGCTACCTCTTCCCCAGGCCTCAGGGGCCTCACAGGACCACGGGGCAGCCGGGCAGGGTCTGCGCAGGGCAGGGCCTATCTGTCAGGCTGCAGGCGGTTGTGGAGCTGCTCCGCCTGGGTCTTCACGCCCTGGAATTCCTGATGGATGAAGTCGGTCAGGGTTTTGCGCATCTCCACCTGAGGGGAAGGGCCAGGTTGAGCAGGAGCCCTCCGGGAGCTGCGCCCAGGGGCCCCAGGAGGCCGAGGAGCACCGGGAGGGGCGAAGGACAGCCAGGGGCAGGCTGGGAAACTCACCGTGGATTTATTCTCCGCACGGAGCTGCTCGAGCACAGGCAGGACGCTGAAGGGCTTGCCTATCAGAACAGTGATTTTCTGCAGGGACACCAGCCACAGGGTGATGAGAACAAGGGGAGTGCCCACAGCCCCAGCCCAACTGCCCTGGGGGACCAGAAGTAGAGTCCTGCCCCTGACTTGCTGGGTGCTCCCTCTGGCCACTCTCCCTCTTAATTTTTATTTATTTTAAATTATATTTCAATTGATTTCAGTGAGGAAGGGAGGGAGAGAGAGAGAAAGAAACATCAATGATGAGAGAATCATGAATCAGCTACTTCCTGCACGCCCCCTACTGGGGATCGAGCCCACAACCCGGGCATGCGCCCAGACTCGGAATGGAACCGTGACCTCCTGGTTCATAGGTCAAAGCTCAACCACTGAACCTCACTGGCCAGGCCTCTCCCTCTTTAGAATGGGGCTCAATGGCTTGCAAAGAGCCATCTCAGTCCTAGGGTCCGTGCTCTAGAGTCCTGTCCTGTCCTAACCCCAGGGACCACCCCTGCCACAGCCTGATTTCATTTGCTCTCCTTCTCTGGGGCTTGGTGCCCTAGAGCAGTGGTCGGCAAACCATGACTCGTGAGCCACATGCAGCTCTTTGGCCCCCTGAGTGTGGCTCTTCCACAAAATACCACGTGCAGGTGCGCACGTACAGTGCGATTGAAACTTCGTGGCCCATGCGCAGAAGTTGGTTTTCGGCCTGGGCGAGTCTATTTTGAAGAAGTGGCCTTAGAAGAAGTGGGGGGTGTTGGTCGGTCGGGCGACGCACGGGAGATGCACGGGATTCAGGCATGAGCTGAGGATGGGAGAGTTGGAAGGGGTCGACCTCAGCGAACGTACCTCAACAATGTACCACCTATATAGTTTCAGTTTAAAAAATTGGCTCACAAAAGAAATTTCAATCGTTGTACTGTTGGTATTTGGCTCTGTTGACTAATGAGTTTGCCGACCACTGCGCTAGAGGAAGGCCCTGTCAGTGTCCCACTTGGACCCCTGCCTCAGCCTCAAGCTCAGCTCCTCCTGAACCTGGCTCCCGGAATGCTGAGTGGCAGCCAAGGGGCAAATGGCAGGCAGGCCAACAGACCACGGCCAGCAGCCCCCACCTACCTGTCCGATGCGGGGAACATATGGCGTTTTGTTAGGAAGGACATCATTCATTCCTGCAGCACGAGGAACAGAAGGTTGGAAGCAGGCATGGGTGCAGCAGGGCGGCCCCAGCCCTCAGCCTGGCCACCCTCTCCCTGGCCCCTAAGGAAGCCCCTCTTCCTGCCTCCAGCCCCAGACCGCAGGCCTTCCCCAAAGGAAGGCTTACCCACATGCCACAGTGGCAGGATGATGGGGTCCAGATGACACTCGGCGATCAGGCGCCCGATTCCTGCCCGCAGGGAGGTAGAAACGTTGGGCGAAGCAGCGCTTCAGGGCTGGCCTGCAGTGGGGGCCACCCTGCCTGCCCCCAGTTCACACCGGCTCCCCTGGGCCAGCCCTTGTCTCAGCGCCTGGCCCCTGGCTGCTGCTACCAGCACGTTCAGCTGCCCCATGTACCGTGGTCCACCAGGGCCCCAGAGGGCCAGCAGCCCTTACCCCACTTGAAGCGCAGGAACTCGGAGCTCATGTTCACTTTTCCTGGGAGGGGTGAGACAGAGGGGAGGCTTTGGAGGGGGCGGGTCTCACCCGTATCCTTGGGAGCGTTGCCACCCGGCCAGCCCCACTGACCTTCTGGGAAGATGTGCACCCAATCCCCGTGGTTGAGCTTCTCCAAAATAAAGTCCATTCCCTTCTGGTAAACACCGTCTCCTGCCGAGAAAAGGCCTCACCCCATCAGTCCCCACTCTCCTGGGCCTCTCCTTCCCCCTCCCGCAGAACAGAACAAAGCTGCAGCTCAGGACGGTCCTCTTCCTCCCTGCATAGTCCACACAGACACCCTCCAAGGACTGTCTCTCCCAAGCCCGCTCAGTCCCGGCTGCACCACTTCTCGGGGTTCAGTGGTCGAGCATCAGCCTAGGAACCAGGAGGTCGCGGTTTGATTCCGTGGTCCTGGTTGTGGGCGCAGTCCCCAGTGTGGGGTGTGCAGGAAGCAGCCAATCAGTGATTCTCTCTCATCGTTGATGTTTCTATCTCTCTCTCCCTCTCCCTTCCTCTCTGAAATCAATAAAAATGTATTTTTAAAATAATTAAAAATACAATGCTATGCTTTGGGTGCAACACTTCATAATGTTTAGCTTTTGCAAATGGTCTTTCTACTCACTTGTAGAGCTTTGCAAGATCACTCCGATACTTCATGCATATCACAAGGCCTACACTTGGGGGTGGGGGAAGGATTTTTTTGGAACACAAAAGCAAAGTATGCCAGATAGTTCCTTTGCTTCAACATGTTATATCTTTGCTGTCCATCAAATGCGTTTGCTAAAAGGCTTGTCCCTGCCCACTTTCTCTCACTGAAGGTGCTTAGGATTAAGATTTTGCTTTCTGAGTTTTAGGGGGTTTTTTTGCTTTCTGATTTTAACTGTGCAATAAATCTTAGATGCAGGTCAAAGAGACAGGAAGTGGACACACGCTGCTTCTGTCTGAGGTTGCAGAGTGAGGGAACTGAGACTCAGGGATGGGGTATAAGAGCAGAGTCCTAATCTCAGAACAGGGCGTGATAAATAGCTTCATGGTCACCAGCCATGACACTGTAGCATCTGCTTGTGTTTTAGAGAAACAAGGCAGCTTCCCAAAGCAGCCAAATGAGAAAGCATTATAGGCACTGTCTCTGGGGAGTAAGTCATTTGCAGATTTGGAGGTGTGGGTGCTGCAGCTTTTCATTTATTTGAGCTATTTTATTGGACTTTACCATGCTTTACTTTGACCAACCAGAAATAATAATTTTAAAAAACTACCCCTTGCCCTGGCTGGTTTGGCTCAGTGGATAGAGCGTCAGCCTACGGACTGAAGGGTCCCGGGTTTGATTCCAGTCAAGGGCAGGCTTGATCCCCAGCATGGGGCATGCAGGAAGCAGCCGATCAATGATTCTCTCTCATCATTGATGTTTCTCTCTCTCTCCCCCTCTCCCTTCCTCTCTGAAATCAATAAAAATGTATTTTTAAAAAACTCCCCCTTGACACCACTAACACCTTTTGGTTACTTCTTTTTAGAAAAATGTTTTTATTGATTTTCTAAAATGTTTATTTTTTATTGTTTTTAAAAATATTTTTTATTTATTTCAGAGAGGAAGGGAGAGGGAGACAGAAACATCAATGATGAGAGAGAACCATTGATCAGCTCCCTCCTGTACACCCCACACTGGGGATTGAGCCCACAACCCAGGCATATGCCCTTGACCAGGAATCAAACCGTGACCGCTTGGATTGTAGGTTGTTGCTCAACCACTGAGCCACTCCAGCCAGACTATATTTATTGATTTTTAGAGAGAGAGGAAGGGAGAGGGATAGAGAGATAGACACATCAATGAGAAAAAAACATCATCCATTGGCTGACTCCTGCATGCCCACCTACTGGGGGTCAAGCCTGCGACCTCGGCATGTGCCCCAACCGGGAATCAAATAAGTGACTGCTTGGTTCATGGGTTGATGCTCAGCCACTGGGCCACACCAGCTGGGCCTTTTTTAATTTAAATCTTCACCCAAGGATACATTTTTATTGATTTTATTTTTTTAATTTTTAAAATATATATATATATATTAAATATATTTTAAGGTATTACATATGTGTCCTTATCTCCCCATTGCCCCCCACCCCACTCCCGTTCAATGCCACAACCCAGGCATGTGCCCTTGACCGACATCGAACCTGGGACCCTTCAGTCCACAGGCCGATGCTCTATCCACTGAACCAAACCAAGAGAAAGGAAGGGAGAGAAACATCAATATGAGAGAGAAACATCGATTGATTGCCTTCTGCAATGACCAGGGATCGAACCTGCAACCTAGGTATGTGCCCTGACTGGGCATTGAACCTGCAACCTTTTGGTGTATGGGATGACGCTCCAACTAACTGAGCCATCTGGCCAGGGCCACTGGTTTTCTTCCTCTTTCTGCCTCACCACCAACCTCTGGAAGGAGTGGCCACCCCTGCTGTCTCACTTCCCTTCCCCCTCTCCAGCCCCCAGAAGCTCCTGTGGCTTTGCTTACTTCCTCGCTGGCCATTGCTTCCTGCTGCCTTGGAGACTATCTGTCCTTCTGTGCTCTGAGGTGCTGTCCTGGGCCCCTGCTCTCTCCCTGCTCTTT